TTGTTATCTTTTGTTTTTGTTTTGAGTCTGTCTCTTTGTCTTGAGTCAGTCTTTTTGCTTAAAGGTCTGTCTTGTTGTAGCGAGTCAGTCCCTTTTGTATAAAATACCAGGTGATTCTGGGGTTGTTGCCTCGAACACCGTTTTGTCTTGTAATTACCTGTTTTTGTTTTTGAGTCTGTTTCTACCGAGGGGCTAGTTGCACCAACAAATCTGAATGAAACAGCTGTTGCTATCTCAACTTCATGCTTGCTCTCAGTTTAAGTGCCAGAGGATTTGAATGGGCTGACAGTACATCTCGCCTGCTCTCCTGCGTGCCAAACTCATTGCATTAACCTAAGTTTTTCAAAAACCTCTCTTGAACACTGCGGTGATGAAAACGAAGAGGAAGGAATTCCTCGAGTTTTGCAAAATTTTGATCATTTTGAGAGAAAGAGAGGCGTGCTAAGCCTTTTTAATGAATGAGATCATGCTTGTCGGCGTGAGTACTGAGAAGGACCCTGGCTTGATCCAGATTAGTTCTACACTATCTTCGGCACGAGCGATTCGTCGCTTTCTTAAAAACTTTCAAAAACAAATGTTTTACACGGCCCTGTGAAGACTTGTGTGGGATCGCTCTTGAGATTGTGCAGCCTAGGATCGCTCTCAGCCTCAAGATTCAACCCGCCCGTTTCGAACCTTAAACCCGTTCAGAACATTCAACGGTCAAACGCCATGTAAGGCCCGCATGGCCAGATCAGAAGCAGCCCTCGAGCAGGAGGCATCAAAGCCGAATCAAAACGAGTAGATCTCACCAGAAGAAGCTCGTGGAGCAACCATGATGGATTCTTCTGCAAATCAGTGCAACAACCGTTCTCCTAGACACAGAGAGCCTTCAACTTCAAAAAAACCATTTGGCATGGACTTGTTACACTTTTACCCTTTGAGAGGCTCGCTGGGCCGAAAACCAGGAAGGGCGACCCAGGCAAAAGTTAGAGCAAGAGAAAAATACAAAAAAGCAAAAAAATACCAAAAAAAAGAAAACAAAAGAAAAGAAAAGAAAAATGCGAAAAAAGAAGAAAAGGGAAAGAAATAAAAAAAAAATGAAAAGAAGCTCGCAAGGTCGAAAACCCGCATCGGGCACCTTGGCAAAAGTTAGAGCCTGAAAAGTGAAGGTTAAAATACACGAGTGTACCTTAACCCCAACTACGTAAGGCTTGATTCCCATGTTTGGGATACGTAGGCAACTTCATCATGAAGTCCAGCCCCCAACGCTTTCATAGCGTCTCAGTCCATGCAATGGTTTCAACTTCATCCCAAAGTCCAAATCAAGCAACATTCAAGCACACTTGAAAGGGACATTCATGGACTAAAAGCATGCAACATAAGCTCTGAAAATCATGCTAATACATGGTGCCAAACCAAGCAA